TTGTGTCCACTTGCTGTACCACAAAAGTACAAACAACATATCTTTATTCAATTAAACCAAAAAAGAAAGAAAGAAAAAAACAAGAAAAGTATTACATGACAGTTGGTTTAAAGATAAAACGTGAAAGACTCAAAGCACAAATTCGTTAAAGTTTGCGGCTTGCCGTTTTTTTTTTTATAAAGACGTAAAGCATGTGCGGCGAAAAATAATTCCTTAGAATGAGATCAGCTGACACGTCAGACCGGAGCGCCCATTTGCGGCTGGTTGATCGTCAAGAGAAGCGTCAGTAAGCAACCAGTCGTGACCACGATCATTTGACTGCTTTAATTGGGATAAACCCACCTAAAACTCCAATCAAGAATAGTCATATGAATACATTCATAATAATAATAAAATTATGTATTTCCTTGCAGCAAGAGTGAACGCGTTATACTCGCAGCCCCGCAGCGACTGGCTGCCTGGCAGCTGGCAGTACACTATCGGGAACCATTGATTTATGGCAGATTTATGTGTTTTGCTCTCTTTCCACTGTAGCTAGGGGAATAAAATTATTGGAATGCCTTAGAAGAGGCGGCTGTCTGAGCGGCCAGTGGAAGCGACAATCAGCTGCCAGTTGGGATCATGGCCATTTGGACACTTTATTTGTAATAAGCCTCAATAAAATGTCGACAAATTAAAAGACTAGACCCATAAGAATATATTAATAATCATAAAATAATATATTTCCTTGTAGAGAGAGTGGTAGAGAATGCGTTAAACTCGGAGCGCTCTTGCGGCTGTCTGATTGAGCAGCCAGTGGAAGCAACAATTACCAAACCAGTTGGGATCACGGTCAGTTAAAAACTTTAATCGCGCTAAAATCCTCTAAAACATCAACCATGTAAAAGTAAAGAACTGAACAGGTTCACAATAAAAAAATTGCACAGACCAAAACAAAAAATCTGCCGAAAATTTATGGTTGCTGAAACTTAAGGCATACAGCCAGCCAGCCAGCCACTGAAAGGTCACGTGACCTGCAACTGGCAGCTGATCTGTGACCAGCGTGACCTGTGATTCTTTTTGAACTACATGTTGGAAGAAAATTACTAATAAATCACCAAATTTTGTCTTAAAATTAAGGAACTGAGCATAAACTTTTTTTTATTGCAATTGTTGTAAAAAAAACTAAAAATCAATGTGACAAAAAATGTGTGATATTGAGTGAGGTGAGACTCATTATTAAACAATATATTTATTTCCACAACCTGAACAGGTCAAGGATGAGGAGGAGTTTGTGAGGAAATTAGGCTGTAGGCCTGAGGAGCTCTTGAAGGTGGTGTCCATTTTCGGCAACACTGGAGAAGGCAAATCTCACACCCTCAATCACACTTTTTTTTTGGGTCGTGAAGTTTTCAAGACATCTCCAACCCAGGAATCCTGCACCGTCGGTGTGTGGGGAGCACTGGACCCTCTTCATAAGGTGGTGGTTGTTGACACAGAGGGATTTCTGGGGGCAGGAACTAACCAAGGACAGCGAACCCGCCTGCTCCTGAAGGTGCTCGCAGTCTCCGATCTGGTCATTTATCGGACACATGCTGACAGGCTACATGATGATCTTTTCAAGTTTCTTGGAGATGCATCAGATGCGTATCTAAAGCATTTCACGAAGGAGCTGAACAAACTTCTGCCAGTTTAAATTAAATGAGTCAGCAAATATGACATAAAAGAGGTGTTTTAACATGGGCAAAAGAATATGACTGTCCGTTTTGGAAGACGTTTAATAAGCTTGTCTTAGAATGATTACTTGGATGATTTCATGAGTTGAAACAAACAGTATTATGAAATAGTTACTCTATATTAGCTGATTCATGTTTGAATTTAGTCTCTATTGTCCTGCATAGCCATTTTGGAGATCATAACGACGTTTGAATGAACAATTTCTATTCCACAATAACTAAGTAAGTGAATTTTTGTCATATTTTAAGATCTAATGGTTTTTCACTCTTGCAGTGGCAGTGGCGCTGAGGAACCAGAAGGTCACAATGCCAAAAAGCAGCAAGAATGTAGTGAGAGTGTCCAATTCAGTCTCCATTCCTGTTCTCACGGCGTTCACTGTGTGCTTTGAGATCGCCCGCACAGCCCAGAAGAGCACAGAGACCATCTTTACCTTGTCTGATGCCTCTGGGACATCCATTTTGGCATTTGAGAAGACAGAAAGAGGCATGGAACTGTTCATCAGCGGTTCCTACTGCTCTGTAAATGACCTGCTCACCAGCTCAGACATCACATCCAGCATGACACCCATCTGCCTCACCTGGACCAAGTCCACTGGCCTTGTGGCAGTGTACTTTGGAGGCCACTATCGAGCCAAAACCTGCGCAGCCTCTCAGGTTTACACCTTGCCGAGTGGGGGAATCCTCCAGCTTGCAGGAAAAGGGTCAAGCTCGGTCAGTGTCGATGATCAGAATTTGGATGGTTTCATATACAATTTCCGGTTATGGGATTATGCCATGCCCTACTCCGAGCTGTCTGCCCTCACCTGTGATGTCGAGGGAAACGTCATTGACTGGGATCATCGTTACTGGACTATCCCAGGCAGTCACACACAAACTGACAGCACGCTCAGCTGCAGTGAGTAGATGGTTTCAGCTATATTCTGTGGAAGCTGGTTTATGATTCATAACCAGGAGTGATTAAATTGACAAACCATCACACACAACTCGGTGTGGGCTGTCACACAAGGTCCAAGTAAAACAATTTGTCTGATGAATCCCACAATTTGAAATTAGTTTCTAGTAGTAATTTCAGATTAGTTACTGTGAATTAATTTCACAGTAAAAATGTCAAATATTCTAAAAAAAAAAAAAAAAAAAAAATAAAAAATTTATATATATATATATATATATATATATATAGTGAGAGAGAGACATTGCCCTAAAGGGTTCTGAGATGTCCCTGAGCAACATTTAAGCATGTAAAATTAATATTTTAACACCCAAAGAAAGTTCTTTTTTTTTGCATACACTTTGAGAACTGGTTTGTGTGAATCATTTAAAAGAATTGGTTCAATGGAGTTATTTGTATGGCTCCACACAGGTGGCTAAACTAGTGATTAGATGTTTGATTATACTAGTTTTGACTGTTCTGAATTACTTATTTAAACAAATGTGAATTTTTTTTAGCTCTGGCTGTAAAAACAGCATGAATCACCTACGAGAGGGTGTGGCACATGAGGCTAAACACCGCTGCCGCTATTCAGCACACTATGACAATCGCATCTATACCTGCAAGGTAGGTCGTAAACAATGCAGCACGTGACCGGACCCTAAAGGCTACACGAGCTTTGTGACTGCCCAGGTCTGACATTGTGTGTTAACCTGCTATTCCAGGTTTGTTATGAGAGTGGCAAAG